TACAACTCCCAAACCGGCCTCACCCTACCCCACCCCAGCAAGTCTTAACTATGACTGAAAGTTTTATCAGTTCCAGTAATGGAAACCTAAACATCCATTTGGAACTTACCCATGGTTATATTCTGCTTGTATTCTGTTTTGGTTAACTAAATGGTTAATATGTACAATTTCCCACCTTCAGTTTCAAATTCTTGCTGTTTTATCTCTTTACCAGTCCCCAGTCATTGTCATTTCCTTTCCTGCTTCAATGTTAGAAGAAAATTACTATGCCAAAGAACACAAGGCTCTGAATTACTGAAGCATCCTTCACTTGCTTAGCCAAATACTCAATTCTAATGCAACTAATGCTGTTTTCAGTTATCCAAGAAATTCTGCTGTTCCATATTTAGAAATGGAATCTTCCTTGATTTTTTAAACAGATCACTTGCCCTTAGTCTCTCTCAAAAGAGAGATTCCTTCTGGATTGTGTAAGCTAAAGCAACTCAGTCCATTCAAATGCTTGAACAGCAGAGAAAAATTATAAAGCAAAAACTTTCACTGAATTTAGCAGCAAAATTATTAGAAAAGTACAAATTTCAGGGAAGTATTTTTTTTGCATCTGAGCTATCCCATTCTCAATCTTAATTGATTCATTGGGTGCAAAGACTTGGAACATGAAATTTCAGCCTTTGTTTTGGCCTTTATGTTTTTTCAGTTAACTTTTTTATAAACTTTTGACTGATGTACTAAGCAAATACACTGTGAAGATACACAAGGCTAACTTTTCTGCTTAGTGTCATATCCTGCCCTGTTCTTATGTTTACTGGTACATATTTCATATAGCAGATGTTTCCTCAGCTTCACTGTTTACTGCTGTTGGGGAAAAAGGGAGGCAAAATTACCAGGTGATGAATGAGAGATGCTTTTGGAGATGGTTTTCAATTAACTATTGTTTCAATAAGGTCTTGCCTGTTTTGAGCACAGTAAATTTTTTCCACAGCAAAACCACAAAATAAGGTTTTATACTTAGGGCAATACCTGAACGCTCACTAAAATTAATCACAACTACAGATTATAGAATTTATTTTTAAAAATGAGGAATTTTCATGATGAGACTGGAGCTTCACTGAGAATGAAGATAGCAGGATCAAATACTCAGTTTAGGAAATCCAAAGCCATAGTTATCCATTTAACCTTAAATTTCTGTCTTTATACACTATACATCTGACATATGTTACCAATTAAAACCATGAACAAGCTTTTCAGAGTAGTAGAAACTTTATCACATGGTCTGATTCAAACTTCACATCACTTGAGAAATAACATAATACAGTATTAATGCTCTAAACTTCTTTCTACACCATCTAATGTGCACCTTGTAACATTTGCAAAAAATAAAAAATACTCCTGAACACGTAAACTTTCATTTTACCTTTGTAGTTCAAACTGCCAAGCTTTTAAAAACCCTAAATATTAAGTATGATTAAACTTGCAGAAGCACATCTTTCCTGGAATTGCCAAATATATGAACTCTTACTTAACTTTTATCTAGGAGATAAAATCTCTGGGGAAAAGCTCCAGGAGAAGCACGACAGCATTATGGAGCCAAGTGAATGGAGATGTCTTGTCTGCATTTCTTAAGAGACCAGGTTGTGCTGCAGCTTGTTCCTTACACAGTTTCAGTAATGCTTAGAATGCATCGAGTATCAACTGTCTTGGAATTACCCTGCCTGGTGATTAGTGATCTCTCCTGTGTCCACACATCTGTGTGGTCAACCATCCTAATCTTCAGTTTTACAGAACAAAGAAATTGCATCTTTACCTAAACTAGCAGGGCTTTTGAGTTTCTCAAGATTCCCAAGTAGCAAATTTTCACTTCCCAACAGAATCAAAATATTAAAGCAACTGATGTCACCAACTGCTGTTACCTATATCCCTTAAGAAAACAGAATCACCTAAAAACATGTTGCCTACAAGAAAGCGACAGTTAAAGGCCCAAAAAAAGACAAACGAAAACTGGTAAGGTTTATCCAGCTCAATTAACTCACTGTTCCAGAAGGTTCTGACAGGCTTCCAGGAGTGACCAATTATAAAAATGAAAAAAATCCCAACTGAAATTAAGAAGGAAGCCTATACTATCATAGGAGTATCCATTCCTACAGTCAAACCTTTGACTTACTTCTAAAATAAGTATCAACAGAACTTGTTAGCCTGTACTCATCACAGACAGCATTGATTTGGAATTGTACTTACACTCAACCCTGACTGACTCAAAGACATGTTTTACAACTGAAAGGTGAACACAATTTCAGTGAATTATACGCAAGATCAAACCTGTTCACTGTGCTAATATTATTTTTACTGATATGTTAACTCTAGTTAATTATCTATTCTTTATTAAAAGAAAAAATTATATATACCTATTTGATGAATTACTGCTAAGGTTATTTTTGCTAGTCTCCTGATGATTGCTCTGCTATATACATTAATGTTTAATGTGCAATTTGTCTCACCCATGTTACTTGTACTTCTCACACATTGAACTATTTGAATAAAACTTGCCCAGTGGTCTGCTTAGTCCACAATACAAATAACAATAATTGATTCACAATATCTCCCATTACACATGTTGACTATTAATGATATAGCAGTTTCACAAGCTATAGATGAGAAAACAAAACACCGATAATGACGTTCAACCTTTGCTTTTATGGTGGTTTTCTTCAAAACACCACTCGGGGCGTGGTCCAGTATCTCTTAGAGCACCTCCATAACCATTCTCTCACAAGGCTTTCTGGACCATTGGGAGTTATTTTGTTGCTTAACAACTGCAAGTTTTGCCTGACATTATTGTTATCAGATTTGGGCTGAAGTGGCTTCAGAAAGACAGCTTCTTGTATTGTTTTGCCTTTGAGAAAACTGAGGTCTCATGTAGAAATCTTTACTAAGAAAAGTGAACCATAAAGTATGACATATTGCTACAAGGGAAATAGAGAACCAGTGATCAGTGACCTTAACTGTACAGCTGCAGTTGGAACCTGTTGTTGAAGGCTATAAAGGGACATGGAGGATTTCTGAAAGCTTTTATGGAGTTATGTGCCTGAGTCATTCTTAACAAAACAGTCAGGGTTAGTGCCTACCCCTTGGGTTTTTTTTGAAAACTCAAGAAGGTGCTGGTACCTTCTGCTTCCAAGGCTGAGTAAGCATTTTGCACTAAATAGCCAATAGATAAAATGTTTAAGCCACCTCTAGAAGCAGGGTGAACTAGGTTCCACTCCAAATCAAACAGCTGTTGTAGTGACTAGACTAACCTTTCTCTGCTTCCTTCTTTCTGGTTCAATATTTTGAATTCTTCACCATCACTCAATTTAGCAAAATAGGGTAGAGAATTTTGGCCCATTACAAATAATGAAATATTGAGGGTATTTGTCAGGAAATTAAGACTTGTGTGCTAAATCCATCCAGCATTTCCAAAGCAGGACTAGGCAAGGGGCACATTTCCAAGTCTTCTGAATCTGATTTTTCAGTGCAGTGGTTGTCTGATATACATTTTGTAAGAACTCATTGCAGGTACAAGCTAGACAGACTCAGAGTACACTTACTTCTTCACACCATATAGAGGATGTTTTAGTCCTCCTTCAGATGGAGTTTAATGGTATTTAAGTACAGATAACGCTTAGATGGAGACAGTTCTATACACACACAACCAGTACTTCACTGACTCAGACACTGAGGACTTCAGACATTTTTACTGCTTGAGCAGATGTTTTGAATATTGCTATCTTTGATAGTAATTTAGCCACCTAAGTCTAAAGTCTTTTTTTGGGCTCACAGAATCACCGAATGTTAGGGGTTGGAAGGGACCTCAAAAGATCAGAAAGTCCACCCCCCCTGCCAGAGCAGGACCACCTAGAGTAGGTCACACAGGACAGCATCCAGGCGGGTTTTGAATGTCTCCAGAGATGGAGACTCCACAATCTCTCTGGGCTTATAACTGTTCAGTGGATCTGGACGTCATTATTCTGATGAAGAGCCTTACAGCAGTCAAAAACGCATTATGATACTGGGGCACTGTCCTATACACAAATACATATTGCTTCTCCCTTCTGTGAATTTTGTATTCTGCACTATATCATGCTTCTACCCTCTGTAACAAGGAGCACAGAAGGATTAGTTGAGTACATGATCCTTCCATTTCCTACCATCACCAGAGCAAAAGCAAATTTGCGTATCCTAGTGTTAAAGAATAGTATTGTTTTTAAATGGCACTATCTTTCTAAGAATGGGAACTTATTAATTCTCTTTTTATGTGATTTCTCCTCTAGAGTCCCTCCTTTTCTTTTGCTTATCAACTTCTTCACCATACAATATTGCAGGTGTCATACTTTCAATCTAACAGGAAAGAACTTGGTATTCTAAAGTTTTTCCCCGGTTAATTGGTATTTATCAGTCATAAATTAGAAAATATTGTCTCTATGGCAAGCAAAAAGAGCTCATAAGGCAGAGTCCTCAGTGTTTGCTTATTGATTGCAGTAAGATTTGTTCCAGTAGGCTAATTAATGCATCTGCTCTAATAAATACACCCAGGAAGGAAGCAGCAATGGAACAAGAACAAGAAAGAAAAGCTGCAATTTCTAAGCACTTGGCCATTCTTACACATGGGGAATAGTGCCTGACCCTGCAATTAGTGCACTTCCTTTACTGTAAAACATTACACAGTAAAGAGATTCTGAAAGTCTGAACCTAAATGTCTTTTTGACTAACAAATGTCCCAGTAAATTGAGTAACGTTTCATTGAATTTACTACTAATTCATTGATAAAACGGTTTTGTGCTCCTGATTAAAATTAGCATTCCTTTAAAGTAAAGGCATGCTAAAAACTGTGTGCACATCTTGGAAAACTGATAAGTACACAAATAATTTTAGGAATAGCCACACAAAATGGTTAACAGATGTGGCCTGTGAAAGGCCTCAGATTATCAATATTTTTTTTTGTCCGTTGTTACAGTTCTAATTCTTACCATGCATTTGCGATCATCCACCCCAGCTAAATCCTCCTCAAACTCCTTTCCTACATCAAATTCCATGATGTAGTTTCTAAAAGTGCTTAGCGTTTTAATGATCATATGATCCCCATTCTGAAAGATTTCTTTGTCAGGTTTTAGCAAGTTTGCTATTTTTCTTACAGCAACATTTACATCTGAAAAAGAAAAAGAATTATTTTAATCCAGAAAAGTCTACCACAAAAAGAAGCTTGCAGCTCTTGGGAGAACTAAAATGAACAAATATAAATTTCCAGATCTTTCAGGCCAGCTTTCTCATCACGAAAAAGTCCATAACCTAATTCTTTTTACTTAAAGAAGTTTATGTTTTGGTTTTCTGATTATGTGGAATTCTGAAAAATACCATTTGTATTTAACAGTTAATAAGGCCTTCAATATTTCTACAGAAATAGCACTTTACATCAAATCCCAACACACAAAATTGTATTAAGTACATTATTGTCTCTTTATTGCACATAATGTCCTCTTTTTCAAATTATGGTTGTTTTTTTAAGTTTGAAATCTGCCACTTACCTCTTCAAGCTATGTAGTTTAATCTCTTTTAATGTAAGCTTCAAGATGGTAAAAAGTAGAGGCTGCTTAAGACAAAACAATTTTGCATAAGGCAATTCTTAAAATGCATTCCTGAAAAAAATATTTCTCACAAAAATGATTTATGACTGTACAAGAAAAAATAGATCCATGTAAAGACTATGGCAGGTTACATTTATTGATTATTTATTAAAGAAACATGAAGGGAACCTTACCCAATGCTTTCAGATACTCCTCAAAATTGTCATTGCTGACCATTTTCCAGTAACCATTGAAATCTGCAGGCATCCCTACTTCAGGTAATTGTCAAAATCAAAGTCTCAGACCAGTGTGCTGATTCTGCACCACACAGCTCACTGCCTTTCTTTACAGGGAGTTTGAACTCTGGTTTCTTTTATCTCTTTTTTAGACCATGTAGCTATGCAAGTCCTTCTAATCCGATTATTGTTGAAGTGTTGCCTTTAAATCCTTCCACAAGGCTGAACCTCAGGTTTCTAATGACAGCAGGATGGCTTGATTTAAACAGAATGAAACATTCACCTTCCATATAACTTCTGTAAGGGTGCTGATTATCTGGACATCCATTTTAACCATATTACTCTTAATTTTTCATGCCTCTCAGCAAAAAAACCTTTTAAATGGCTTTAGTTTAGGATATTTGCCAAAGCTATACAAGTGCTTATCTGTGTGGTTTTTGAGGCGAATCCTTCTTCCTTGAATATGTTCTAGCTACTTTATGCCACCTTCTTTTCAGAAAATGATCATATAGACTCTTTCAGTGAAAGCAATTTGTATCTGGCATTTAACTTGTTCCACAAGCTCCTTAATTCTAGAGAACTACCAGTGGAAGCTGTTTGGCCAACAGAGGGCTCAAAAAGGGCCAGTTAGGTGGAAATTTGTATTAAGAAGCAGTGATTATGACTATATATTAATAAATGCTACATCACTACTGAATGCATGATTTCAGTTAATTTAAGCAACACTGAAACACAGAAGTAGCACTTTATAGAGATTCCATATTCTTTGAAGGTGTCTTCTGTCAAAAATGAGTACACTGAATCAGCAGAATATGCAACCAACATATAAGAGAATGGATTTCTCTGCCTAACGTTAGGGCTCAAACACTGAGACAGCTTCTTAGCTATTTTCATTTATTTTCCACTGTGTAATTTTGAATGGACTATCTGTCATTTGTGAATCTGGAGGCTTAAAAGTGACATGAATGGCACATGCATTTTTAAGTTCTTGCATGAAAGAAAGATTTATTTCCATCTCTCATCCAAACTGCCAAAACACAAAAAGTTATTCAGGGTCCTAAAAAGTAAAAGTTTAGCAGTAATATATATATATATATAGAAAAGTTATGGTTCATTTTATTTTGCTGCTTCAGAACAATAAGGCATCTTCATGCTAAAATTGTTTTTAGGATTACAGAATTACAATTCAGGAAAGTACTATGTTTGACCCTTTAGTATTAATGGAGATAAATATTTATTGTTAAGATCTTATTTCTTTTATTTTCACAAGGAAGCTGTTCTTTATATATTTTAAGCTATGCAGCTGAGCATCCCAATTTGCTTCAGCGCTACCACAAACAAAACCATGAATTTGGAACACCACATGAATTCAAGAAATTTTGGACTGAGGTACTTTCCCCTCATTAACTTTCTTAAGAAATTTACATGAAAAAACACCAGGTCTGCCACACACCACAGACATCAGTCATTTAGTGGGTTTACTGTTGTGTTATGCAATTTAAGAGGCTGAAGCAAGTCACCTTCATTCTTCCGCTCACTCTCTTCAGTGTAGATATTATGGTGTGCAATGTAGGATATAACAGAATCTGGTATGAGATACTTTACACTTAACCCTCTGCACAAGGCATAGCGTATCTGTGTTGCACTGATTTCATTCTGAATCCATTCTTTCACCAGAAAGATATTGTGCTGAAATTTAGTTAAAAGGTCTGATTCATTGACATAGTGAGCAGGATCAGAGCCAGCACGGCTAATACAGACCAAACCAAACTTTTCCACTATTTCTTTGATGTGTTCTTCCTTCCAGAGATTGGGTGTCTTAAATGTCTGTAGAAAATCAGCCCCACAGAGCAACTTTAATTCCGGTAGAACTGGAAAGACAAAAGGAAATGAGAGATTTCTATACTTGCTTGGTTTTCTAGGAAGCTTATACTTAAAATTGGCTTTAACTCATCACTTTTCTTTTTTATTCATTTACCTTTACTGCAGTTTTCTCTGGAGATATTCAAAACCTGTCTGGACGCGTTCCTGTGTGACCTGCTCTAGGCTAACCTGCTTTGGCGGGGGAGTTGGACTAGATGATCTCCAGAGGTCCCTTCGAACTCCTACCATTCTGTGATTCTGTCGTGGCAAGAAAAATTCAGCTTGGATTTTATGTGTCTGGTCACAATTACTTTATCACCTACTTCATCATTACTCACAGCATATCAAATATTATCTGTACAATGTTAAAGAAGAATTATTCCTCCACTCAAAACAAGCCAAAAAGGGGAAGAAGAAAATAAAGAAGATAATTATTTTTGCACAAAGACTAGACTTGGTTGAACTTGGCTACTGCACCCTAGCCTGCCCTGATTGCTTTGCTCAGGTACCGTGGGACCAACCCCAGCTAGTGAGGCCCTTGCCTGGCACTGTCTTACCACATACGGCTCCCCGTCCCTTAGGGAGCTGCTGCCCTACTGCGCTCTCGCACAGACAAATGTTTGCATACTGTCACATTAGCCAGAGAAAAACTTAGAATTTCACCTGGGTTTGTACACCTATATCATCTAAAACATGATGGACTGTATCTAATCTAACTACCCTTACTGTTACAATAAGCTAGTTAGCTGACCTACTAGAGAAATTTATTGTTGAGCAATTTGAACCAGCAGAATATTAACCAGATAATCTTTTGTGTCATGTGGCCATGGCATTTTTGTTCTAGTAAAAAGAAATGTAAAGCCAAATTTGCTGTACCTTGAGTAATGACCAAGAATGATACTTCACTAGTACCACTTTTTTTTTGTTTTCTCTCCATTTCTTATTTGCTGCCCACTGCCTAAGCCCCAGTACAAAACTCTTTCCTCAAAGTCTGTTCTACAGCACTCACCATTATACCAAGTATCTTACGAACATTGACTAGGTATTTTCACAGCCTTGCATTCACATGAAATGAAGGGCAAGGATGGAGGTGTTGTCTCCATTTTACATTTACTTGTGGTTGTAAATGGTTAGCACATCTGCAAGTCTTACACAAACACCTTAAATCAACGATTTGAAAAACAAGAAACATACCAGTAATGATGCATGAAAAGCATACATCGTGCCTTAAGATACACTCAGTTTTGCAGAGGTTTAGTATATACCATGGAGTTAACTATTTCTTCTCTTCTTACACCCCTCACTACATACCTTCTGACCCCTACAACAAAAGACTGGGGTAATGCACTGCACCTTCCTGTGCTCTGAATGCAGCGTTACTATACAAGGGGGACTGTATGGGACTATCTTGAAACATTAATGCCTGACAGAATCACCATAGACTGTCCACATACTTAAAAATATAATTCTGGTTTTTTTTTTTTTTTTAGAGTTTATGATTAGTGTATTTGGTAGGAATGTGAAATTTTAGTAACAAACCCCTCCCTCATAAACCACTCAGTAAATTTTATTTTGATACCCATATCTGCAAGACTGGAACCTTTAGATTCAATGCTCTCTGACATGTGAGCTAGTGCAGAAGTACCTCCAACAGTTGTCTGTGATCCCTGTGTGGACCAGGGCTACAGGAGAATGAAACTCTGAAAGAATGTCCCAGATACTTCTGACAGCTGATGCATGATTAGACATTCACACAACCCTGGAAGCTCTATCATGATAAAACTGATCTTTTCTGCTTCATCCTTTCCAAGCTGTCCTCTGCTTATCTGTTTCCTCATGCCAGTTCCAATCTTCATCTTTCCACTCACAGATTCTACTCTTCCTTTCCAGTTCCCTGTCCTCAGTTCCACATTTAGACTGTTTTCAGTTCCCGGCTTTCCAGAGCCTTACCGGAGTTTTATATCACAGCTTGCTTTTTACTTAACAGCAACCTCCCCAATAAAACAGCACTCTGTCCCAAGCTGTATTAGAGCTAATATTACACCAGAGATTTATAGTGTTGATGGCTTTTCTCTGAATGTACATGTGTTGCACTTCTAGGTTACTAGAAGCTAAATTAACAGATTGTAGGCTTTACAAAAGGGCTGTCAATTTTACAAATACATCTCCACATATCCCTGCATCTTCTGTGCTTATGAGAAAAATTGTATTTGGCCTTTCAAGGGCACTTTGCTAAATGATGATCTGCAGCTTCCACTATAGATAATGCTATAAAAACTCAAATGGCTTCTGCAATGCTCCATTTTTTTTTGATACATAAACAGCCTTTATTTCAGGCCATGGTATGTCTGGATCAGGGAAATTTTTGCTTGTTTTTGATTGGCGTAGCTTAGTCAATGATGGTGGACAGAAATGAATTGCAATTCTTTGAAGTGTTATTCAGGGAAAAAGCAGAGGGTAAGCTAAAGGAGAAATAACTATTAACACAAAGGAAGCAGCTGGATTTAAGGTCTAATTAAGGGAGGCTGCTGTTGGAATATGCCAGGGAAAAGCATTCAAGAGGTGACAACAAAGTTGTTCATGTAAGGCAACTGAGAGACTTGAAGTACAGGGGATTCAATTAAAAATGAAGTGGAGGTAATCAACCGTCTCTTGTAAGTAGGAGAAGAAATATGGCATGTGAAGCTACGTTTGGTGAATCAAGGAGGGATTCCAAATGCCTGGACACTGAAAAACAGAGGAAAAGAACTCTGGAGTCTTGTCGTTTTCATCTTCGTCCTGAATGACTAGCACCAGTAAGCTATTCTAAGTTTATTAAAACTGCAATCACTTGTCTATACCTGTCTTCAGTGAACTTTTATATTTTCAGTATATATTAAAGTAACATTATTTTATGTGGAACAAAATCATGAAGTTCAGCACCATGCAAAGCAGTCTTACAGTTTAGTAGGCATACATTTAGTAGAAAACCAGTATATTATGGAATTTTGGCACTGCTAAATTCAGCCATCAAGCTGATCTTTGTGAAAGATTCCATTAGGTAACAGCCATTCTACAAACTTCACAGAAAACCCCAATTCAACAGATTTCATTGTTGGGAGGTGTTTATTTTTTGTTGGGTGGGGTGGGGAGGGAAGAGGAATTGGCTAATGGTTGCCTGTCATTAGAAAGTTTGTGCCAACCAACATTTGCTTATGAGAAAGAGGAGGAACTCTATTCTGCTCCTGATCATTCCCCATGCTCCATGCCATACCATGCTACTGACCAAAGGAAGTGGGAAGAAACCATTCTGTTCCTTCTTGGTGGGCAACATGTTTAATACAGCCAAATCCATAACACTGCCCGGTCAGTCAAAGCACTGAAGGCAGAGAAAGTATCAACAGGATGCTAGGCTTTCCCTGTTCAAAGTAATGGATTATTCTTTGCAGACAGCTGCCAGATAGAATTAAAAATAAAATAAAATAATAAACCAGCCACTATGTACTAGACAGAGAAATCTATTTCTTGCCTGTCCTCCTTCTCACCTAGTTTTTGCTATGCCTTTTGCTTTTGAGTGTAGAGGAATCCTGTGATGATGACTGATGAATTCCAAACTGAGAATCTTTATTGGGAAAGAAAGACTAGTTTTAACATTTGTTTTCTTGACCATTTTTACATAAAATGCTATAGAGCTTGAAATAACTACAGAAAATAATAGCCAAAAGCTTTTTTTTTGTAATGGAAAACTATTTTTTACTACTTTCACAGTAATTTTCCATAGTGTGGCAATGTGGAATAGTCTGACTTGGCACTTGCCAAGAATCATTAACCCCATCAGACACAAGATTCCACTGCAGTCCAAATGCCTTGAGGCTTTTTTCCCTCTACACAACAACTCATTTTTTGGAAACTTTTGTGTAACTGTGAACAACTGAAATGTATTATTCCTGTTCAAGCAGCGCTGCAATACTACAGCAAAAATGTACTGTATGAAAAATCTAGAAGCATCCTAGCAAGTTGCAGGGCTAGGGAATATGATAAAACAGGAATACCCAAACTGACAGTGTTTCCAGAACCTGTCATACTTCTAATGTCAACAGAAGCTTTTCTGTCCAGAAATGCTGTAAACACCAATGCATCAGCGCTGTGGTATTCACATACTTCGTCCATTGTCTAACACTAGAATTACCATTCTAAGTAATCCCTATATTTTAAAATATTTTTTATTCATATATTCTATGCTTTGCAAAACCAGCAGGGCCACAATATGCATCTCTGACACAGCTAAAGAGATGCTTGTAAAACTAAGAATTAATATGACTCCAAAATAAGTCTCTTGTCTATGTGGCAGTTACTACAAAATAACTGCACCAGCAGTCGCGCTGGCATTTGGCATGGCTTGTTTTTGGCAGGTAGCTCCAACCCTAAAAACTTATCAGCTACTACGTTCAACTTTTTCATCAATTAGTCTAGTCTGGTAAAGCTGTATTGTTTTTAATGCTGAAGAGAGTCGTGTTTACAGTTATGAACCAACCTGGGTACTGGTAAGAAAGGGAATCCTCTGTAGATATTTCTATGGGCTGTTTGTTTTTCATGAATTCCTTCTTGGACTGGAGCAATCTGAGTGATTCATTGTAATGGTGCCTGCATTTAAAATAAAGGCTTCTGTGTGAAGTAATCCTCTCAGAGATTCACAAAGCGATTACCTGGCACTTTCAGATTTAAGAACACAGTCTGCTTTTTTGCACTTTGGATTTGAATACAATTTGTTAAGAATTTAGCATATTCATTCTACCATGAGATTAGTATCAATGTAATTAACATTTTGCAGAATTCACAAGCAATCTCTGTCATGGCATTCTGGTTTTCAATTAATTTTTGAAATTCTACCATTATGGCAATTTTGGTAGCAATATGACATTTAAAACATTGTGGAGGTTTTTGCTTGAACCAGGATTAAATCACACTTAAATCACTAGATTTAATTTCTTGATTAAATACAGCCCCTCTTGATGTTGTTTCTATAATTTGTGCTCAGTTTTCAGGAGGAGACGTTCTTTTTCATCCCCTTCTCCACAAAAACATATTCCCTCAGTTTTCACCTTGTGTTTTTCCCTTTAATTTTAATTAAAAGATTCACAATCCTGAGAAACTCAAAGTATACAATTCCTATAAGATTTTTGACATCTGCTATGCTTCTAATTTTACTGAGTTCGGATCCATGAAGGCAGGCAAGGATCCTCTTGTCAGTTTTTCCAGGTTTATATTACTTCATTCTTTTGCTGTTCCTGATCACTGGTGCCCCACTGCAATACTGGTACTATTACCTCATGGTAGTGGCCCCTTCTTTGATCATGGGAGCAAGTGCCAATCTTAGATCCAAACACCCAAACTCCCTTCCTTCCAAATCAGCATGGCCTTGCCTGTTTAGAACAGTCCTTGACTTGCACCATGCTGAGCCATGCTTAGGCATTGCTCATATTGGCATGAGCCAAAATTGTTTCAGGAAACAAGCTCACAGTTAAACAGGGCAGGTAAGACACAGACTCACACCAGCATCCCATGTCTGTCCAGTACATATATACCCCAAGTGACCACCAGGTCTCACATAACTGTTTCAAAGCAAAGATTAAGAGTTACAAGGTACAGTCTGAATTCAGTACATGTACAAAGCCACAGACAATCCTTTGAATGTCTGGCCTAAGGATTTAATTTATAGTTTAGTGATTTAAATGTACACTCTTCAAATCATGCAAATACTTTTAGTTACAGCATAAGCTGTGCAGGTACCAAGAACATATACGTAGGCAGGCTGCGTAACGATCTCCAGTAATTTTTAATGCTCAGCCATTGGCTAAAGAAGCTACATAGACAAAAGTTGAGGGACATATGGTGGTAAAGAATAGGTAGCAGTAGCTTGGCCTGTGCCTTCCTACATTTCTATTTTTAATCCTGCCTTGTAAACAGGCTGATGCTATGTATAGTCATGTACACTAACTTTGTATCATGGACGGACATTCTTGGGCCACGACTCAAAAATAAGAACTCTTGGCAAAGAGCTCACTGCAGGACTAACATGACAAGTACTTTGAAATCTTAACTTTCAGCAGGCGTTTCAAGTGCTGGGGCAGAGAGGGTTATGTTATTTTAAAGATACACCAAAAAGGACAAACCAATCTGTCAGTTTCTCAAGCATTTTCTGAACTGTGCATGAAGCTTTGAATAACTACATAATTAAATCACAGCACAATTCAACGGAAGTTGAGTAAGATAGATCTTTGGCAATTCTAACTTATTGCATAGTATATCTGCACCACAATCAAATCTACATTACAAAAGGAATGAATGTAGTTTTTGCTTACTGACAATACTGTTTTCTTGTCTAGAAAGAATATTCAGGAATAGCAGCTAAGCAGGAAATAGCTTTATTATGTTCCCTCCTCCTCTCTAAAAAAAGCCTTGAGATAGTCACCAAAATTTCCATACTCTCTTAATGTAACAGGCGCTTAACTAATAGCACCACCACAAGTGGGATATGAGCTTTGCTGCTTAAAATTCTTTTATGTCATAACTACTTGGGAGCCTCTGCAAAATCCACAGATTTTGATGAAGTATGGCAATTTCATTACACTCAGGTATAACAAGTACTGTAGGAAAAGGCCATTCATGTGTCTCAGGACACAATGTTCTACTGCAGTTAAGTGTAGAATTCAAAATACTGATAAGAAGAGACATTTAGGTACAATAATACTTTTTGCCTTTGCCTTGCAATAGCAAAATCTCTTTCTATTGGTACTGAAGTTTCCTACCTTAGGGAGCTTATTAGTGAAGGCAGCAATTGGTTCTTGGTTCTTTGGCAAGGGACAAATCTACAGATGAACCTTCAACACTTGTGAAGGGGCACAACTCCACAATAAACCACTGCCTATTTATACTTGATAAGGATCTAGCCCTAAAGCCACCTCTTTTTCTTAATATTCATGTGTGATAGTTAAAATACAATATAAAGCCAAAATGTGCTATTTCATCAGGATGCTGCTTCCCCATTCAAGGGACAGTGTTCAGCGTTTGATTATGGCACTGGTTCAGCACATTAATGTTAGTCATCATTTGGGAAAAATTGTTTAAGCTCATTTCTCTCCTTAACAAGCATCCATTTTAACATTTTGTGAATTTATTTATAAAACTAGAAGTTAGCTTTCTAGAGCAGCAGGAAGTTGGGCTGTTCATACCACACTGATGCTACTTTCCCTGAGTAGAAAATTATACATACAGGTTTTATCTATTGTACCTCTTATACTAAAGGACTCTGAAGTGGATTTACAATTTACAAACCCAGTCTTGCAAGAAGTACCCACTTCAGCTGGAGCTGTGCAAGATCAAAGCCTCACCTGATCTGCAAGATTTGTGGCTGCTTCTCTGGAGGAAAATAGTTTTACAAAACTGAAGTTTAGGAGAAAAATCCCATACCAAACCAATACTGCAGGACAGACCTTTTGGTGATTTCTCATACTGGAATATAGAAGTGTGACTAGAGAAAACAACAGAGAAGTTTTCTGCAAAGACAAGGTAGCACTGCCTAGTCTTCCTCCTGCCCTGATCCTATTCTGCTGGCTGGAAGAAAGGGGCAAAAGAAGCAACTGGATGTCTAAATTCACTCAGTGAAGCAAATAAAAGCAGAACTAAAAGGCTCTACTAGGTTGGTGGGTTTTGGTTTTTTTTGTAAGTATGTAGGGTATTCCTATGTATGCTTTTGTAACAGGTCTAGTTTTTAATTGCTTTCACATATAGCCATAAGAGCTTTCTGGGCAGTTGTTCTGGAAGGCAGATTTTAGAGCATTAAGCTATACAAACAACTGTTTCCAGTTAGAAAGTAACCTAGAAAATGTGGATAGAAATGAAGAATCACTGATAGTTCTTACAGCACACTTGCTTCCTTGAAAGACATCCATGAAGCCTTTCTCTTTAACAGTATCTGTTGACTTCTGTAGCATCTACGTTTCCAAACAGTGACCAGCACAAGAAGTTTGTGTCTTCATACCTTGCCCCGTAATGCATTCAACACCAGGACCAATCATATGGGAAAAAGGCACGTTTCAAGGTCCTTACATCAAGTTAACAGGTTTTTGACAAATTGTTTAATTTTTCCTTCAAGCACAAAACAAACTCGGTGTTTTTGAAGAAAACAGCAGCAGTTATGGGCTTGGGTTTAATTTGCCATTAGAGTTAATGAGAAAACTTTTCAAGGGTGTGGGAATAGATAAACCTGCAGGCATAATAATGCCAACATAGCTAATCTGGAATAGGGATACTCCTGAAGAATAGATTGAAGGCATAAATAGAATAAATAGAATAGACTGAAGAGTTTATAAACTCTCTTACTTTCTGATAAAAACCTCTGTATTACCTGCTTAGGGACTTAGAAACAAAAGAAATAACATGGGAGCTAAGAACTTTGCTGCAGTACTCTTTCAGTGACTATAATTTTGCAAGACCCTTTCTTGGCAGGGTCTTTCCACATGCATGTAACTACTCAAATGGCACAAGTGCAGTACTGGGGTGTATTGCATAGGTCTGGGGAAAGGAAAGACTCCAGATAAAGTCCCTTTAACTTTATGATGCCATAAACAGACATGTTCTGCTTTGCTTGGCTGTTTTACATGAGTGAGTTCTGTGCATTCACCTGATAGCCTGACAGATTTTTGTCAATCAGTAACTTCATAGAGAAAGGAAAAAAAAAAAAAAAGTAATTACCTTAATACTTTTACTGTCGCTGTCCATGTCTCCTGTTCACTCTCCCATGGATCAACTCGAATCCAGTCAGATGTCTCCAGTGCTAGTTTAGCCATTGCTATCCGGTGCCTTGCTGAAACCAAGCCTTTCTTTCCATAGTCATCATTAACAGGAGACATTATGCCTTCAATCACCCGATACCTTCCTTTTGAAAAAAAGAAAAGGAAAAAAAAAGAAAAATAAGTCATCTTCACAGAATCTTGAAAATTTAGGGTGGACAGGACCTTGAGACCTCATCTAGTCAAACCTCTTCAAAGCATGGTTAACTTCAAAGTTGTAAGAGGCTATGGACAACCTGATCTAGATATTATTTTTTAATACAAAACAGCAATTAAAAAAATTAAAAAGCAGAGTTCTTGAACGGCTCACAATTACTATCAATATGTTTATCCTATGAGATGATGCCAAAACGAAAGCTGGATGAACATACAATTTTCAAGTAAGTAGAGATGTTTATGATGGAAACCATCAAAACCTCTAGATGTAATTGAGTTTTATATTCCAGTAAGTACAGCTTTTCTATAGCCAGAGCAATAAATGACTTAACTGACCACTGCTTTGTTTTTAAGCATCTGATGCTTGTTATTTATCAAAATCATTGTGCCTTTTCATTGTGTTAAAGCAAGAATTATAGCATATTACTTCAGCTGTGATTAATGTGATTCAGACAAATCAGAAGATTCAAGAACAAAGATAGGGCTAATGGAATCTAAAAAGAGACTTACAGCACTATGGTCAAACATCAGCTTAGCAGCCATTATAGACACTTTCTATCTGGCTGATCATGCTAATTAAATTTGAAAATATGCCCATATTTTTCTACTCCTGTAGCATAATGTAATCATTAATACCACATGCTCTTTTTGTTAAGACTTTGCAGTTCTGGCCTCAAATCAGAAAACAAAAATGTAGCTCTTATTTTAATAAGTCAACAGGGATATAAAATACTGATATGAGCTGCATCCCTCAAGAAAAAGAGAGGAGATAAAGGGTGTTTCAAATAAACAGAAATGAAACAAAATGATTTCTAATGTAACACATGCATTTTAAATAACTATAACTATGATACTGAAGGGGGAAAAAATAATCTTCCTTTTTTTTTCTCTAATTCAATTGTTTCAACAAAGAAACTTAAGAATGCAGGAAGTTCCCTCTGTTGCTTTGTAATGAAACTGATACCCCGGACTCATAATTTCTGATACTGACATATGACATTTTAATATTCCAAAATGACAATTTAGTAACTTCACATTTATTTGGATGCAATTGGGTAAAATTTTCAAAAGAAAGTTGGACTTAAAAACAGCATTAAAATTCAATGAGATTTACAGGCCTGTCTCCTCTTAAAATGTCAGTCCAAACTAGCCTCTGATTTTAAAACATCCTCACTATAGGCAAGATGATCAACAGAGCAAGATAAAATTTTCCAGAAACATGCAAAGGTGTGTGTAAATTAAGTCCATCTCTTGAACTGAAATTGGAAATATTTTCACTTGACATATGAACAACAGTTATTCTCTGATACTTTGATAATATATAATGCTATGAAAAATTCTCATTTAAAGGGAAAAAATTACAGTTTGAATTCATTAATATTAGCCTTATTAAAAGGTTTTTCTTACACAATAATTTTCTTTCCCACATTTCACTTCCTTTCTTTTCAGTTTCTACAGATATAAATTGATCCCTTATATTTTAAATTAATATATTAAATGTAAAAATTAAAATAGTGTGAGATCATGCTAGCCAAGAATGATTGTACCTCTACCATATCCTTTTGAGCTGTAAAGATTTCAGTCTCTAGTCTGGCCTAGAACTGCACAAATTGCATGAGATAAGTGCTTCTGATGCCGTATCAGCTTGTTCAAAGCAGAAATGAAATGAAATGGAAGAGAAAAATCAAGGCTGCTAATACTTAAGGTACCAAAAGTCAAATACAATAACTGAGATGATTCACAACTGAGTGAATCAGCACTACGCAAACATGATGCACATGAGAACCTTGCATGTAAAAATACAAGCTTTACCACTCAAAATATAGGAGAATATTCTATTACTGGCTCTAAATAACTTGTGTCCTCTTTAGTAATTTCAAAGTTCACCTATTCAAATATGTTCCTCAGTTGTGGCAGGTGTGCAAAGAGGAAATACTTAAATTCTGCCACCTTAGGTTCTTTTAATTTCCATTGCAATTTCCTTCTCTGTCCCATAAATTATTAAAAATAGTTTCAAACCTTCCTTGGTCCAGAATTATCCTCAAATTCTATTTCTTTAGAAGCAATTTGTTTTCATCATGAAGTATGTTACTATTGCTTGTCCTAAGTACGTGTAAACATCCTCCAGGCCCTTAAGTGGCTTTGTTTTTCAAAACATACCTATGAAAAGCAGCAAAAAAATTCCTCTAGCTATGAACTTATATTCTCTTATATAACTTTTAAGAACTACATAGGATAATCTGTTAAAAACTAAATATAACAAAAGTAATGAAACAAAAAATGTCCCTCAAACATGTTAAAGTAGTATTATTAATAAAAACAGGTATTTAGTGTTCTGTTATAAAGGTCACTGTAAATTGTCACAAACACTAACATAAATTGTAATGCCGAACGGAGTTTATTAATACTAAATCAAATTTATCAAATGCCAATTTCATATAAAATTGTATGTGTACTTTGGTGGGGATTTTAAAGACATACTTTTGTCTAGTAGTGAAGTCTGTGATTTACTATTAGAAATTGTACAAAAAGTAAATAATAAAAGAAATAAACACTATAGAAAAATAAGATAAAAAACCCAAACAACAAACAAATAAAAGAAATACTTCCACACATTTAACTCTCGCCCACTAGTCAGCTGCCTCTCAGTGTCATAGAAAATCCACAACAGCCTGGGAAGCTCTGCAGCTTTACGGTGTTATCCTACCCAGCAAGCAGCAAATGACCCCTCTGCTGTTCTTCCTTCTGTCATCTCCAGATCACGTTGCAATAGGACTTCGTGCCTGAGTGCTGCTTTATTTCACTTCTTTTCCAATATGCTGGTAAATAGGTATATGAAATAGTAC